TTACGCCTCAGACTGTGTTTACGACTGAGATTCATCAGCTGTGTTTTTAGCCTCATGTCAGTGACAGTTATTACCATTGCATGCTACAAGCTCTGACTGTAAGTACTTATGTCAGCTGACCACCAGGAAAACTCAATAGCCACAAACATTTTGTGGGATTGCAACAACCAGTGGTGATGACATTAGCTTTGGCATGGCTGTTAACTTGTAGGGCTTCGAGATTTGGTGACTAACAGTGTTTGTTTAGAAGTAATTGAGGGATTATTAGCATATCCTTAAACCTGAAAGGGGGAATTATGAATAAGGGGTCTGAAATGGAAAGACCTCTGAAAAGAGAGTTGTTCAAAGTTCATATTCAGAAGGAGCGCAGAGCAAGGAGGTAAGTGAAATACAAAAAGGGGGCAAAGGGAGAAACGGTCATAACAGTTCGTCTCCATCAAACCCAGGAGCCAACAAAAGAGCCACACAGAAAGTTGCAGTAAAAAGTGGACACAGAACGAACCCAGCGTCGACTCCCTATGAGTCAGTCTATTGTGAGGCCCACAACACACGAGTCAAGTTCCCAGTGAATCAGAGCAGTCAGCTGCCATCCACCACCTCAAGGCACAGGGCCAGTCTAGCACAGGACCGTGGACATGTGACCAGCTGTCTCACACAACCACCTTACTGTACCGTGTCTCGCTCGGCGGAGAACAGAGGCATCAACAGTGCGGTTTTAAAAAAAAAAAAGGGGTTTGAAACAAGTCTGAACAAGCTTCCTTTTTCATACAACACCGACAGATAATATACGGCTATTTTGCAACAGAAGCAGCAGTTGTTTGTACATCTATACATTCCTGTAACCTGTGATTTACACTCTGCTGTCAGGAGGGTGCAGTGACATCAATACTGCAGCGGGAGTTTGTCTGAGGCCTCGTGGAGGACACCAAAATATCCTTCCACTTGTGCCCCCTCTTCCCCAGATACTGATACAGGCACTACACGTGCAGCTGTCTAAATATTACTCCTCCCATCTTCTTCATCTTGCCATTTCTCTGCTCCTCGCTCGCCTTTCCTGTCCCTGAGCTTGCAGCCTCTGAGCAGGACGAGTTTAAGGGGGGACAGCTGTTCCTCCAGCACAACTGGGGATGTCCACATTTGGTGCTTCGTTGTCATGTCAACAGTACGAGAATAACTCACCTTCTGCTGTCCAGCTTTGGGCTATAACCAGACGCACACCTGTGGTACCGATACGTCACATTCACATGGCGTTAATTTGACTCACTTGAGAATGGAGTGCACTTGATGCTTTTATAATGTTCTGCGTGAACTTCAAAAATTTGCTCAATCCTTCTCTTTTCATGGCTTCATTGTTATAATAGCAAAAAAGCAGATGTCTGCACACAATGTTACCCCAAATTTCCACTGCATCCAAAACGGCTCTGATCTGGAATAGCAGCAATTTTCACCATCCTCCAATTCCTACCTGATCTGTTTGTGAGGTGGAATTTGTGGTGGATTACGGACAGCAGGAAGTGCGAGAACCTGCAGATTCACATGCAATCGTGCAATAACGAGATGTCTCTATAAAGACAGCCACATAACCATATCAGCAGTAGATTGCGTCCCTTCAGGCGAGGAAATCCACTTCTAGACTTCTAGAATCAGCATCTCCTCATCCATGGTGTCACTGAGGTGAAATGCTACCTAAAAACCTTTCACAGAGTGTTTTATTTTGAAAAGGAGCCGGATGTTTTATTTTGTGTCTGTGCCGGACTTCCTTTCCAGCACGGGTTAATCTGTGCTGAATTTACCTGGCATGCTCCGACATCTGGAGAAAACAGAACTTAAGCGATCAGCTGCGAAGTCCGCCGATCCACAGCGGAACAGACAGAGGCCAGTGGAAATTGACACATTAGCTTGAATGGTTAGGATCAGCTGCTATCGTCGGATACAGCCTTTTCATAGCCGTGGAAATTGGGGGTTAGCCTTCAGTTACTTCCTGAACACCAGGAAGTAGTTATATGCTTACATTTGCAATTGTCTAGCCCTAAATATGTCAATTTGCCTTGAATTACTGACCTATCTTTTCACTAGCATTGTCGTTTCAGTTGCTAATAAATCCAGTTTCCTAAAATATTACGATAGTTTGACATATTCCTAATGTTTACTCTACTTACAACCTGGAATAAAACATGGCATTACAACAGCAGCCGGCTTGTAGCTAACCACAATTAGATTATTGCAAATGTAGGTAATAATTTCTACAGAGCACTGCAGCAGGCTGTACCCTTTTTTTTTTTTTTTTTTTTTACAAGTGCAAGTCATCACTAAAGCCCTGAATGCAATTAGGGTTTAAATGTAATTCATATAAGAAGCCAGGCTAAAGTTAATCTCATAAAAGGACAAACAGAGCCATTAAAAGTCTTCTGCTCTTTACTTCATTACTGGCTCAGCTTGCTCTCCTTATGCAGAGTCCCCAGGTGCATGAATGTTTCATGGCCACCCTGCTGCCTGCTTCCCTCTGCTCAGATTCAGCCTTCTTCGCTCCTCCCAGAGGAAGCTCCAACTCCGTTGTCAATTGCACTCACTTACACTCAGCTACCGTCATCATCAGCCATTAGTGGGGGGGGGGGAGAAGAGGCAGCACATGAGACAGCTGTTTTGCCTTGATGACTCAATCATCCCCTTCAGTAGGATTAGCATCAGTATCATCATCCTCATCATCGTCTTTGATCCCCAAAATTACCAAACAAGTCTAAAATTGATGCCTATCAGACTGTCTGCAGCAAATTCCTGTGCTTTTAAGAAGGTCTGACTTCATTGTACAACACTCAGTTATGCTGCTGCACAACAAGAAGAGATAAAACGGTAAAATCCAGCATGTTGTATTCTGAAAACTTTCAGAGAAAGATTTTTAGCTTTCTGGGTAACAGTGCTGCACACCAAACATCATTTCAAAAACACCAAACTATCTTTGCTCTCTACTTGAATATCCAAGAACTACAGACCAGTTCCAGATAATCTCACTAAGGTAAAGGCATATGATAGCATTAGTTCCTTAAATCAGAGTCAAGTCCTTTAGTATCTTTAGATGGCTGAGGTAGAGGAAATTTATAGAAATGGCTTTACATTTTTTCCCAAGAGGGACAAAGAAAATTTGACACTACACCCAAATTAGTTTGTCAAATAAGAAGCTGGTTCCAGGTGGGAATTAACTAGATGTTTTTGAACTATGGGAGGAGTCTGATGAGTTGAGAAATGGTGTTAAAGCAAACTTGCTTCCAAAGAGTGTACACTTTTACTGACACAAACTTTTTTTTCTTAACATTCATTAAATATTGTGGTAAAGTTAACTACATTGCAGATGTTGATGTCCCAGCCTTTATGCCGGTTCTCTGCCTGGTTTCTCCACAATAGGGATAAAATGACTGAAATCCCTTGAAGGTAACGCACTTACTATTGACAAGTATCTCATGAAACTCCATAAAAAGAATAAAGTATCCCTTTGAGACCTTCTGAGTGGCTAAACAAATCAGTTCCTAACAGTGGCTCTGGTGGTCTCATTTAACACTTTTCCATTCGGTCTGCCAGGGCAACCCCAGTTCCCATTCCTTTTTCACTAAAAAGGTTCCCTAAAATCCAATTTTGGTACAAGATTTCATCCAAACACATCATATCAGTCAAGATCCACAGATAACTTCAAATCCTCAAAGGTTGTATGCTCAAGTTGTCTGTGATCCGTCTTACCATGTATGAGCAGGGTTTGGACCCCTCCCCTTTCACAGCTATTGGTTAAATTCCAGTCACCTAAGCACGAGCCAAATAATAATACATAGAGCCGAGTCATTCGCGACTAACACTTTGGCTACGTCAGCTAGCTAGTGCCTACTGCCACAGTGCTGTGAGGTCAGGTGATGTGAAGCAAGGGCACTTCAAAAAGCACTTTTAATAACCAATGTATTTATGGCGATGGTGGTATAGTGCTAAGCATAGCTGCCTTCCAAGCAGTTGACCCGGGTTCGATTCCCGGCCATCGCAGTAAATGATGTTTAGAGAATTTCCCAGTTTGGGATCAATGAAGTACGTACATCTATCTATCTATCTATCTATCTATCTATCTATCCATCCATCCATCTATCCATCCATCCATCCATCCATCCATCCATCCATCCATCCATCCATCTATCTATCTAACACATTGGAAAGTGAATCAATCAGCAATGGTGTCCATTTAACAGACTACGACTACGACTACATCTGCTTTGGGCTGAATAGGATAAATCTTCAAACATGGCCAGTTAAATGTCACTCACATTCGCCAGGGTATTTATTCCAGGCCCTCAGAGCTGCCAATGTTTTCATTTCATCTGATTTAAAAAACAAACATTATACTGTATAAGCAACAGGTATTTGGGGTCAAGTGAAGCTTGTTAGGTCGTGGTTGTATTTCATTATTAGAATGTACCAATTGAATATAACCCTGTTCACTGACAAAGAGTAATATGGCAGCAACAGGCAGCAGAAGGGCTTATTAATGCAGTCCATTCAAAAGCCAACCGCATCTCAATGCCAAGTGTTCTTAAAACATATTACTGCGTACTATTAATTAATTTGTTGGCTTGTGAAGCGTTGCTTATTCAGGCTATTCATCATGAGCAGGAAGCTGACAAGCTATCAGAGACAAGTATGTCAAAGGAATTACAGCATCGGAGAAAGTAAGTGGGCCGTCATTTGCTTTAATCTCATCATTGTTATTGTCTTCGAGTGCAGCTGAGTTGATAACTCGTACACATGAGATATAAAGGAGGCTCCAGGAGGGTCAGAGAACAGTGGGGAAGTTCATCTCAGAGCCAAGTGTTGCTTAATGGCTTCCTCCTGCTCTAAGTCAAGTCAGAGCAACTGAGCACAGTGGAGAACATCTGTCCTGAATACACACTTTGAACCTGCCGCAGTCACCCTGTCACTCAAACATGTTGTGGCATGTCACAGGCTATCACAAAACCTATGCCCACATAGGTTCAGCGTGCACTATCAAGCACGAGCATCCACAGCAAAGAGCGGTTGACGCCTCGTCTATTTTTAGTCCGGTACACTGAGTCCTGCCTCTGTGTTGTGCTGCTCTGCTCCTCGGGACAAGCAGGCAGGTCATCATCAGCAGCAGAGGAGCGCCGGGAAAACTCCAGCTCTGCTCCCTGACCCCGGTCCTCTGACTCCTACATCAGTGGGAGAGACTTACAAGACTTCTGGGCGGCATTCGGGGAAGGCTATCTGTGAAAAAATAGGCGCTTTCTTGATGGATGCCATGTTCATCCACCTCTTTCTCTCTGCGGTGACTAATGGGCTAATAATTCAGCTGTCACGCTGGCACGTTATCTCGCACTTTCTCATGGGAAGAATACCACCCTGGAACATCTCAGGGCTGAAAAAGATATGCCCATAGACTCCCAAAGTTGTTTTATTTCAAGGGGAGGTATTGTGAGAACAAGATGGGACCAGATGAAGCTTCCATGAGTGAGACAAACCCAGTGATAAAATAATAAATAGGTGGATACGGGTAGGGTTAGGGTTAGGGTAGGGATGTGCACGTTCGGTGGGATTCAGTGGTTGGTAAAGTGAGTTGTTTTTATAAGAATATCCATCATACATTGTCTAAACTGTAGCACAGCCTCACAACAGTTGTCAAGGATGTAGAACCAGTAAATAGCTACTACCATGTCGCTCTACTATCATGATGTAAACAGACACAGGAGGGAGTTGGCATCTCGTAGCACAGCCCTGTGTGGTGGTATTTCGATCTAGACATGTAATCAAACTTGTTTGTACGCTGTGTCCAGGTAAACTAGCATACAACCACCGAACTGGATCAGTGAGCTCGGCTAACCTTTGCCACACTCGGCTAACTAAGTTGCGATCCCCTGCTTAGTTGCGTCTGACTGTTTCGCAAGTGTTTTCTTATCTTCGAACTTGTCGGAAATGAAATTTTGGTTTAAACAACTACACATTGGTTTGTTTTGAACATACAAAGAGCTTTGTGTTGGTTAATGTTTGTAAAAGGTTGTTTATTTATTTCTATTAGCTTCCCAAGAGTTATTCAGGTTCTTCTACCCACATTTTAGACGCTTGTTTTGTCCCCATGACAGTCTCACCAAAAGACTCCTCTAAGTGTGAGTAAAATAGTTCAACTCTGTGCTCTTTTACACCTGCAGTTTCACAAACCTGATATTTCTGACCCGCGTCCACCGACCGTTGTCACAATTCAGAGTGAAAAGTTCATCTTTAGCTGTGTTCTGTTTGTGGTTTCTTCCTGCTTTAGGAAACATCTATGTGTAGACACCACAACATCCCAATCACCGCTATCAGTCTCACAGCTTGTCATTCAGACCTCTGGGTGTTCTGGTTCAATGTTAAACTCTCACTGCTCTGCCATGTGCTTGTTTAATAAAGTACTTCCACTTGACTCAACACCAGTCAGTGGAACAAGGGAGTTATGATTGGGCCCGGGTGTGAAGCCGCTGCTAAGCATTAATTTGGCCAAGGTCTAGTTAATCTAAATGCCTCCCTGTTATTATATTCAACAGAAATCTCTTCAGAACCAGAGTTCACTCCAACAAGCAATAATAATCCTTCTAATAGGCTTAAATGTTTTGAAACTTGAAGTTAAGTGGCAGGCTCAGCTCTTTGTTTGCCAGTGCAGAGGAGGGGAGGTGGACATGTGCGCAGGGGCTCTGAGACTCCGAGGCCAGACCCTCTATCCTTCCTGTTCAGTTACTAGAGGCCTCACACTTATCAGTTCCAGATCTCACAAGAACAGAGAGAAACAGAGACCACTGACAGGAAGGGGATTTTTTTTTTTTCCAGCATTTTTTTTCCCTTCAGAGAGGTTAACAGAATGTCTGCACCCCTCACATTTCACAGAGGAAAGCAATTATTCATTAGAGCTCTGACTGGAGCAACAAAGACCAACCTGGCGAGCCTCAGATGTTAACCAATTGGCACTTTACTGGGTGCCAAAACCGCTCCAATCGACAAACTGATTGGACAATCAACCGAAAACTGCCTGACACTTGTTTAGTAGTTACCAAGTTTCTCTTAGTTTGATCTCCTCTGAGGTTTACATCTCGCACTAAGGCAAACCTTAACGAACTGAAATGAAACTTGGTAGTTAAGAATTGATTAACTGTTTCAACATCTACCATTACTTAAATTGTTGTTGAACTCAAATGGTTAGAAGTTTACTGACTTACTGCAGCGGTCAAACCAACTCTACAAACTAAAATAAACTGACTTTCAGCCGGAAAAACTGTTCTGTTACTTATGTAAGAAACAATGTAAAGTGAGTAGGTGTTTGTGTGAAATAGAACCCCATTGAGGTCAAACCCTGCTACCGACTCAATATGCAAATAAGCTGAAACCAAGTACTGATTTGAAGATGATTTTATTGATTTATGAATAATTTATTCATGCAGCTTGAAAAAATAGTCCCTTAGATTTGAGGGCTTGAGGCGTTGTCATGGCAGCTGCATTATTTCCAGTCTGCTTGGGGTCCAGTTAACATTCAACTTACTATTTTCATTCACATTTACGTCTATCCGGCTTAACTAATGTAGATGACATTAAACTTGACACTTAACACTTTCTTGTAGAAAAAAGCAATGTCTATATCGAGGTTGCTATAAATGGTTGCTTTATGTCTGTTTTCTTCACTTTGGTTGATGTCTCTTTCCCTTAGCTCTTCAATAGGTCAAACCCAACGCTAGTTTCTGTTCATTTTCCCTTCTCTTGTCTTTTTTTCATTGGTGGTGACTGGTCAGCTATCAACCACTTATCTAAAGTTCAGTGCTCTCCAAATAAACAGGAAGTAGTTTAAAAAATATATAAGTTATTTGAATTTTTTTGCCACATTGTGAAAATTATGAATATGCCAGACTCCCTTGGTGGTGGCTGTCCCCGGTATCACTCTTAATATTGAGAACTGAGTTTTGTTTTTAGGGGTTTGACCGACCAGAACAGAGTATTTAACCACCCTAATCTATTACTAGTTGGGACTATCAACACAGAAAATTGCCAAAACCATAAGATTGACGGGTTTTCTTTCGCCATCTGAGAAAATAAAAAGGTTAACTAATCTAAATAACTTTACGCTGAGATAATGAATCATGTGTTTGAATCTAGGACATTTAATTTATGAGGCTGCAGTTGCTTTGAATACTCTTGGATCACACTTCCCTATTTGAGACCGTTGCTATTTCCTGACTGCAGCTTCTCCATCAAACCCAGCCTTCACAAAGTCAACCTTACATCAAGTAAAAAGAAAAAAAAAAAAAAAAAAAAATCTGTCACCCAGAGACGTGCAGAGTTGACTCTGAACTGGAGCGCTCATGTCATGCCTCTGTTCGTGTCATATCCACCTCCCCCTCCTTCTCGTTCCACTTGCTCTTACTACCTACCTCGCCTGACATTTCCACAATAATCACTTTGGTTTATCCCACTCGGCTGTGTGGAGGGCAGATGTTTGTCAGGGCACCGTATTTCTCAGCATTCACACTGCTCTAATCAAGATTAACCACTCTTATCTATTCAGTGTATGCGTGTGTGTGTGTATGTGTGTGACAGAGTGTATGTGTATGCTGGATGTCCCAATTCTTAATCCATGAAGCTCAAGCTGTATTGTATAATACAGTGGACGAACCAATTACATTCCCTTCCCCGACATAATTCTCTCTTTTGGTGGAGCGTACGCTGAGCTACATATTGCATAAGGATAAACCGGTGGCCTGCTGTCCAAGACCTTCCCTGTAAACATTCGAACAACTGCATATAGACTTGACTTTTGGCAGAACAGGCGCAACATCACAGCACTGCTAACCCCCCTCTAAAGAGCTCCTAATGAAATCAACATGCTGTGCGAGGTGAGCCGACGCTGGCCACACACAACTGCCGCCATCGAGTGTTTACCGAAGACACTCGAGCACAGAGGAGGACCGAGCATGTCCAAGCAAACAGAGTTGTAGTCTTTAAATCAAAGTAGTGTGAGGGGAGGCAGATATCTGTTTCCACCAACAAGCTGTGTGGTAAAACATCTTTCCAGAAATAGTTTTTTCAGTCAAGGTAATGAGAGGGTTTTTCCAGAGCACCATAAATCCCAAGAGTTGAGAAAAATACTCCTGTTTGCCAAAGCATCGACTGATTTAACCTTTTAATACACTCTTATTTTGAAAAGAACCCTAAAAAGAAAAGTAAATGAAGCACCAAAGCGAAGTTTAGGATGTCCTCCACCATTATGAACTTTCTAGCTTTGGTGGAAATGAACGTGAAAAAGTTTGTACCCCAGACTCCTCAACCGGCCTCAAGTGAAATCTCTTTTCTATTCCACAATTTCTGAGTTTTAAACTTTACCAAGAAGAAGAAGTTATTCCCCGTCACCTGCTCTGTGTTTTCCACTGTAAACGTAAAAACAAAAAGGACCCACCTGTGTTGACTTCAACTCTTGATTCTTCACCACAAAGGACCCCCCCACCCATTCACACACCAGGAGGGGAACCACTTCAGCGCCACTCGTCTTCTGTCCCTGAGAGAAATCAGAAGAGGAAAAGGAAAATACATCAATCAGCGCCGCGTTATCACCCCATCTCCAAACGCTGAAATATTACATTTGCATGACTTTTTTGTTTTTTGCGTGTTTTGTTTTTTTTTCCTCCTGAAAATCAAGCAATGATTTCCCTCCTCACGGATTCCTCTGGGCTCTGAGTGGCTTCCATCTTAATGTGATGTACTTCTCATCTCTGCATGGATAAGCTCCTTCACGCTCCCGCGCCCATGAAGGACGAATCAAAACAGCTACTGATACTTCACATGATCAGTATGGTATCATAAACATCCGCCGCGGCGGCAGAGTAAGTTCACTGTCAGGGCGCGTTCACAATTCACTAAAGATTGACAGATAAGCCTATTAAGAGCGGCCTTCGCTAATATTGCTTTGCACTTAGCCCGGGCTGGCAGGGCTTGTGTGAATACTTGTGTGGCATTCAGATCCTTGAAAACGACCTCATTGGTTATTATGAATTTGAAAGGGTTCAGACCGGAAAGTGGCGAACTACTTTGACATTTACAAAAAAAAGCACAATTGAGCTGAATTATTATTTAAAACATGTTTTTTTTTACCCTTTGATACTGCCAGATATTGCTGTTTGTAAGTGACACCAGCATATTCATCATTCCTGATAAAAAAAAAACGACCCCAAAAATCTATATCGTGGTTTTAGAGTCTCACTTAGAGTCAAAGTTAAGTGGGTTGTAGCATTTGACTCCCGAGAAAAATGTCAAATTAACATGTTAGAAGATATTAGTCTGGTCCTCATGAGAGGTTGAGCAGGATGACAGTTAAATAAAAGTCCTGTCTTTGAATGAGGGGTCCGGGTTAAACTGGCGCTGAAACACATCCGGCTTTTTAGAGAGCGGAAAACAAACTCTCGGCAGTGTTCTCTGTGAAGGCTTGACAATTTTCTTAAACTCTGTCCTTTATTCAAATAGCGCGACACTTCATGGAGTCAAAGAAACAATGTTTTTTTTATCCTCAATGTTGAACCATGAAATTTCAAGGAGCTGACTGAGATGGTAGAAGAAAAGAAAAATAGAAATGCCTTCAGGGTGTTTCTGTAGCTTTTGTGAGGTGTACGTGTGAAGTGGAGAAGAATGTGACGTGCCTTTTTTTCTATTTTTTTTTTTCCGCTTTACACAATCTACCCCAAAATTCCTGCTGTCTCCTGTTTTGGGCTCATCTTCTGCTTGGTGGAACACAGCATGTTGGTCTTTTTCTGTCCACAACCAGGACTCTACCAGCTTCTGAGTAAATGCTTTATTTGACGGGATCAGGTTAATGTTCAATCTTTCAACACCAAAAGGTATATTTTTCACTTTCAGCCAGAGACGGAGGTCTCTTGTGCCTTTCACTTTTTTTTAATCATTGTAAATTTCAGGCAGCTTTTCCCCCCCTCGCTGTAAGTGCCACTCTCTAAAAAGGGAAAGTGGAGGAGCACTGGGGGCTCAATGGGTCGAGAAAGAAGAGGAGGAGTGGAGGAAGGAGAAGAAGAGGAGGAGAAGGAGGAGGAGGAGGAGGGGGGTTGACGCTGGGTGCCTCCTTTTTTAAGCCAGATTCTCCCCAGATACCTCTGTGCTATTCATCAACAGCTTTTCCAGGGCTGTGAAAAATCAATGTGCTCTGCACTGCAAACAGTTCATAATGACGGGGGATGGAGGGAAAAAAGCTCAACTGCAACAGAATTGATTTGTTTAAGTACAATAACACGGCTCTGCAGCGCGGCGAGGAGGAGGAGGAGGCTCCAAGCCCAGACAAAGACTGACTGGCAGCATGAAACCACAAGCAGTAATTGACAAACTGCTGGCAAAGTGCAAATATGAAATACAGAAGCCTGTTATCTAATTAAAGGAGTTTTTCTGAGAATTATCACCTGACTGAGGAAAAACTCTGGGACAAAACAAAGTCACTAAAGAAAGAGTTTTTAAGGACACAAAATAGAAACACTATATCAGACAAAAAGAAAAGTTTTAAAGTAATATTGAAACAGGTATATGAACATTAAATCAACTTTATTTTTAAATATAACACAAGAAAGCACATTGGTTAAAAGAAATATTGATATTTTTACTGCTGCAGGCCCAAAACAGGTAAAATTTTGTGTCCAGGCAACAGATCAGCTTCCTGCCAAAAACCAGAGCTGCACCTCTGCTGATGGTGGACATACGTCTTTAATGATCCACTACCTGCATGTAAACATCCACAGATGAAAGACCTCAAAAATGTTTGTCCGCTAATTATTTATCATTTTTTTAATGAACAGTTTTGACACGCTCATGTTCCAGCATTTTCCTCAAGAAAACAGTGCAACCCACGCACAAATGCACACATATTTGCATATTATTCAGACTTTTGACGGGGACCTAATGAATCTGAAGCCAGAGTTCAAAGCACACGCAGACAGGGTTTGATGTTGCGTAAAGCAAAGTCATCATAATGTTCAAAAGATGACACCAGGCATGAAGAAAAGCAACAAAAATTCACAAGGTGAGATTTCAAACCTCCTGATTCTGCAGAAAACAACAGGAGCTGGAAGTAAACTGTGTCAAACCAGGCCAGCACAATAAAACAATTCCCCCTGCCTGGCCTTAGCCGGCCACAGAGGTGCATTTATCATTGTTATTATTCCTTCAGAGAGGCCCTCCCAGGTTTAATTGGGTCCTCATGGAGTCAAAATCCCTGCTGTCGCCACAGCCGCTGGAGCTGGACACACTCGGGGTTTTTCACTGGCTGCATAAGGATCAGACTTTCAGTGCAAAGTGGCCAGAAGACCCCGCTGGCAAATCAGTCAGGGTCTGAGGTTGGACAATGGCAGACAAGAGTAGGACACCTGGAGAGAAGCTCTCACCTGGCTTTTGCTCTCGACTTTACGGGGGAAGCTCTTGAAAGACTCCCGGTCTACTCAGTCAGCTCTGTGCAGCCATTACTCCCAGTGGGAACGATTTGCATTTTAACAGGTAAATACAGCGAGTTTAAACCCACATGGACAGGAACCATGTGGGAAAAGGACAAATGAGCTTTCTAACCTCAATACAAGGAGAATGAGCCAAGGTGATAAAATAGCTGATTGCAACGCTCTTTTATTTATGAGCATCTTACAACAGAAACTAAGGTCGTCTGTTTCTGATCTATTTTAATTAATAACGTGAGGGCGATACTTTTAAGGTTACATTTACCACCAAAGGCATTTTGAGGGCAAACTCTTTGGATGCAGATAGACACACACTGATTCAAAGAAAATGTTTTAATCTCATCATATGAATCAGTTGCAGCTTTGACGCTCCTGACCTCCCGTTCACCTCCCCAAACTCTGCTCATCCTCCACTCCGTCTTTCTGTAAGCTTGGCACCAAAAATCACGACGCCTCCTCGAGGCTGTTTCCTGTTGTTGATACACTCAAGACAGGCGAGATCAACTAAGATACCTATCTCTGCCTCTCAAACAGACACTTGAAGTCAAATAGAGGAATGACAAACGTATATAGATAAATGTGAATTTTTTGCAGCAAGGGGGAAAAGGTTTTAGTCTGAACTCGATGAATCAAACTCAGTCATAAATATTAATAAGATTACGGAAACCTTACCTTTTCATTAGTTTATTTTATTGGAATTAAGCCATGGTATTTCAACTTCAACTTCATCTTAAAGCATTTAAAGTGAAAAAAAGGCAGTGTTTGTGTTTGTGTTTGATGGCAGTCAGTCTTACTCTTTCTCCCTTTCAGCAAATCGTGGTTAAGCTGCCCGTTCTGCGTCTTTGAGCCCCCCTGATGCTCAGGGAAACTATTAACACCAGTGCGCTTTTGAAAGGCACATTTCACTTTAAAATACTCCCAGATGGCTAAGTTGACAAGTTGACTGCGGTAATGTTATGTGTATTTGGTGTCAAGCAGAAGTCAAATACCGCCAAAGTACCAGCAATGAGCTAAACATGCAGGTGCAGGTGATGGCAACTAGGTCTGAAACGATTCCTTTAGTACCAGGAGTACCTCGATTATAAAAAACGATCAAGGAATGTTCTCTGTCTCAAGTACTCGTTTATAAGATCAAATTGTCAATGTTTCGCACGGATTATTTTCAAGGTGACACAAAGCGTTTACATCACCACTGTAAAAGAAGGAGTAAGCACGGTTTTGGTTTTGCGGAGTGGAATAAATGAATGATGAGAGGGGCTTTTCTCTGCAGAGCTCCAGTAGCTCATTAGCACTTTATCTCTGAGTCGTGGGCAAAGACAGCGCCGCTCTGCACACTCCTCTTCACGCTAGCTTGCAGCCTAACATTGCCGGTGTAGTAGCAGAAGCACGTGTAGCACAAAGGAGCTATTCAGCTCTCGGACACTAATGTCTTTAGGGGCATGATGAAAGTTAATATCATAACTAGCTTTGCAAACTAACATTGCAATCCGCTAACGTTAGCTTGTTCCGCGATTGTCCTCTCTATTTCTTCGAAGTCTGGCCTTCAAAGCGGGGCTCCGGGGTTGGAGCTTGGATCTGTGATGTAGGAAATCTCACTCAGTATGTTTACATGACCCTCGAGAACCCTCCGATTAAGACCAGACAACTGAAGTGCAAGTAAACACCTTAGTCCGACCTTAATCGGAGTTTGAGAACTCTGATTGGTGTCAGAGAACTCCGATTAAGACACCCAGATAATGCGATTGCAATTGGATTTTCTCTACCATGTAACCAGCGTAATCGAAGTATGATTGGACAATGCATGTACACATGCGCCACGCCCCCCTAACCGCAGAACAAAAAGGGTAGGAGAGGAGTAGCGTGCAGCTCATCTGCAGAAAAAGTAGCGCATACATCATGTATGACACAACGCGGTACGATGCTCCATCTTCTTGCTCTTGCTTGGCGAAAAAAACAAATTATGAGTTTATTCCGACTAAGCTGTGCGTGTAAACACACTGACTGTATGATAGTCTGCTATTTGGTAGAATACTCGATTACTAAAATATTCAATAGCTGTAGCCCTAATGGAAACTGCATCACATTAGCTAGCAGAGCTCTGTTTCAATGCAAAATAATGACATTTTAAATGCGCGATACAAAATGCGATTAATTCAGCAATAGTATAAATGCTGTTTGTTTTGTAGCACTTGTTGTTTGATGGGATGTGATGTTATCCAAACCGACATGAAGCCTTTCAGGCAGGTTTTAAC